GCAAGTACATCAACAAAGGTTCTGCCCCCCTTAACGCAGTTTCATTACTGGCCACGTCACATGTTCTGCATCACAGCCTGTAAAAGAGGGAGTTCAGAGGTATTTACCTATATTTCCCTAATAAAACTGAACTGAACATAGTTATTTTAAGAGGTTCTCATATAAGGTTTGCCTATATAAGGGACAACAACATGTAAGGAAGCCCAAGGCGAAGCCGGGCTTCCGCGCTAGTTGTAAATATATATATGAGCGGTGTATCATCCTTTTATAGTTAAACTAGTCTACTACGGATGACTTAAGAATCTGTCAACCTCCCCCCCGTAGTACTTTCCTTAGTAGGATTTCGGTTATTCATCACCTTCGGTAATTGCAAAAAATAATAGAGTTTCCAACGCGTCCACTGCCTAGGCGGAGTACCCTGACGGCTACCTCACTGGTCCAGCCGCGTATGTTTGCCTCGAAAGTAGGCTTTTCTGATCGCCAAATAAGTGGTATCCATGCCTAATCAGTCGCGGGTCGCGCGTACCCAGGTAAACAGTAGGAACAAAAGAATATGCGATCACCGGAGCTGCCACAGCTAACTACCTTTTCTGATTCTTGCCTCTGTCAACCTACTAGGGGGTTTAAATTGCTCTCTTTGAATGCCGCCAATTGCATCACCTTCATCCAGTGGGCACTCGTAAATCTCTTTCTTAACCAGCAGGCGTCGACTTTTTTCCTACTGCCATTCAGATACCCCTGGACACGTTTATTGTGCACTACGCACAATTTTCAAGTAAATCGATTGTTCGCACTCTTAATTTCTGTGTCTGAGATCCACTGCCTTTGCATCTGCATAAATCTCTAAATCAAATTTGTGTTGACCTTATAAGGGAAATGGGACTGAGTTGCAACAAGCACCGCATAACGGTGGCTACTTCGCTTGTGACTCATTGCAAAACTGCTGCTTAATTGGTGGTGGTGGTGCTGATAATGATGACACCAATTGTGATTGCACGGCAGCTGTGGAAGGTGTTGAGTCAGCTGATGAGGCCGATACCCATATTTCACACTCGTTACATCCAGGGCTCCATCCGTTGCCACCCGGCGTTGCACACACACACATACGCACAGACTTTTCTAGATCCAGACTTTTCTCGATCCAAATGTGATTAAACTCACGGTGTGAAGCGCGACATTCGTAGCTCAAGTGGGTAGAGCGTTGGCTTACGTAAAAGGCCTCCCTCCTATGCGGGTTCGAATCCCGCCGAATGCCGCGAGTTCTTCGAATCCCGCCGAATGCCGCGAGTTTTTTCACAATTGGGTCAACTAAATTTTCTAGAATAGGTTGTTCTACGTGATTGACGTGAGGCCTCTAGTTGACTGGATTGATAGTGGGTGGCATTCGAGGTAGAGCTCACTTATTAGAAAATAAAGGCGCCGGGTAAATTGTATTTATTGTGCAGGCAGGAATTTCGTCAGCTGTAGCCTCAAGTAATTAGTTCATACGCAAATTTCCATGAATGTTTAGGCTTACTTATTTGATGGTGGTATGCTAGTTAACTCCAGCTGTATACTGAAACACTAACACGAACTTCTGGATATACCTGAAACGCAGATGCTGTCTTATTGAATAATGCTGTACTGGCTGTTATTCTCCAGAAGTTTCGCGTGTTGTTTTTGAGTGACTGCTGTCTTCTCTATTCGGAGAAAAAGTAATCTGCTATTATTCGCAATTGCAAAATTGCGTTTTGCATGGCATCAGACAAGTAAAATGTATCTTTGGAAGTCAAGAATTCCCACTCTGCCGCTGTTCTGAATGCGCAGCAAAACTGGAAATTTTATTAAAGTACGTACTTAGTTGTCTCAACATAACTGCAACATTTCCTATAATCGATCCCTTTGGTACGGCCAAGGGATGTTTGGCTGATGGACATGTCCTAGCACCCGTTTGACTCTTGAGAGCGTTCGCTGTTGAAGCCTTAGGGCGATCATGAGAGGTTACTACAGTTGGCGAGGTTGCTTTACCCTAGCGATAATCATTACCTTAGTGTGACTGGGCTTTTCCGGTGTGATACTTCTGGTACTTGTAAGTGAGTGTAATCACACTTGACCCTGATTGCCCACCCCGCCTAATGTGACTTATGAAATCCGCAGGTTCTGACTATCGAATTAGGAGTGTTAGTGACGCTGATAGTGAGACTGTGGCCATTGTACGCCCGCTAGAAGCCAAACGACGCCGATGAACATTCCTTCTACCGGTGTTCTGGTTTTGCTATCACCAGCCGTCTATTGTATGGTTATGCATTCAGCACTGGGCGTTGGCTTATCTCGGCCAGCCAGTCAGCCAGCCCACTGTGTGACTCACTTCGTTATTCACGCAGGCAGTTTCTAAGAGGGAGCATTTCTGTCACGCCCAAATGAGTCTGTTTGAGCGTACACGCAACCGTCCAACTATTCCCTCTTGCCTACGCCACCTCTCGGCACGGTACACACACACAGCTAAGCGCACTCTCTCTCTTCACTTCCTTTTTTAGCGTGTGGATGAGAACTGGAGCAAAGGCCTCTACCGCCCGATCCGAATCCAGTGCCACAGTGACACCACCAAGGGCGTCTACTGCCTGCAGTACGATTCGGAGAAGATTGTCAGTGGTCTGCGCGATGACACAATCAAAATCTGGCGTCGTGTGGGCTCGCGCTCCAGGAGCGGTGCCTCGTTAGCGGGACGTCCAAGATCCGGAGTGGGCGCCAGCGCGAGT